CACACAGTGTGCAAAACACCTGTTTCATTTCTTTTGAGTGTCGTTTGCGTAGTATGTGACATGTGACAGTAATATTCACTTGTTTCCTGTAACTAGTCAATGTTTTAGACCTTCAGTTATCATATCTTGGAACGATGTTCCATACTAGTAGAATTTGCATGTTTTCACTTCAACTTGATACAATCTCTTCAAACACGCTATTGGATTTAGTTTATGAGTTAAAGTTTTACTCGAAATTCAGTATTTTTTTAAACATCTCCTATAGGCTAGCAGAGTTAACCGATGTTTTGAAGACAAATATTCTTCAATTTTGATTTTAATGACTTTATTCTAAAAGAATCTTATTCATTTTCATAGATTTATATCTCGATGTGCCTCATGAAAACATTTTCTATGAATAGCGTTAATCGGTTAAAAATTCTGATATTAAAAAATTCCATTAAAGGCTCATTTGTAATACGAATGATTGGAAACGATTATCATTACAACAGGACGTAAAAAACGAACTTTCATCACTGATGGTTAGTTAAAGATTTGACACTCCTCGACAGAAGAAAAATCAGCTTTTGGAATAGGGAGCCTATAACAATGTTGTGATACTCTCTTAGTTTCTATCGATTTTTAAACATATATAGAAGAAGACGAAGTATAACAAACACAGATTAGCATACCACATAAATCCATCTGTGTAACGTAAGTGCCAATTAAACTATCAGATCCTTTTTTGTAAATTAATAATGTATTTGTTGTATTGTTTGCAAACAATGCATGTCATTCTATTATACCCTGAACTAGTGAAAAAAGTTTGTAAGTTACAAATATATTATTCAAAGTCAATTCCTCAATAAAATGTATCTTTCTAGTTGATTTTCAAAAAGGTCGATTCGAGTGATTGTCTTGATCATTGAATTTGTTGTTGTTTTTAAACCATCATGCACCAAGACATGCGGAAAGAATAGTGGTTCCAAGTTACAAAACGCACTTGAAACCAAAGTAACACCGACTACCGTAGTTCTCACTGATATTCCATTAGTTACTTCGACCGGAGAAGTCTGGGGAATCATCGTTTCTATTCCAGTTGTTGGAGTTTTATATGTATCAGCTATAAGTAAGATTTCATTATTTTTGGTAACTAGTATTTTATAGTTTTCTCCTTTCCTTAGTTCCTATAGGGGTTGTTACCAGTGCACCAGTGATTCCAACAGTTGATACCAGCCAAGCACCGGCATCCTCAGCGGCTCCTGTAACAACACCGATCATATTGCTACCTCCCACTACAACTGGTAAACAGACAAGGGAAAGAGATAGAATCAAAGTGAATTAAAACGATTTGAAAACTTTAGCGTGACTATGAAATTTGAAAAGCTTTATTCGTGTTTAGAAGAGTTTTGCACAACAAATGCTTCACCGAAGCTACCCAAAAGCCACGAGTGACTACTAATATAGCTACTCAAAAGAAAGTTTTATATTTTGAGGAAACGATTGTCGTTTTTTTGTTGCGCATGCATGAAAACCTAGCATCAAAATTTTACACATATCTACTTCAGTTTGAGTGAAATATCAAGACTGGTTGACAACACCAAAAAACTCATCTTTCACAGATCCGATAGATTATTGTTACCCGTTTTCCCTACTTTTTTAAATACTTGTTCATCAATTCATACTGGATTCCTGGAAATTTTATCCCACATGCATCTTGAGATTTCAATACGATTACAATACTCATTTAGCAAGCACTTCATGTTATATATTCACCTTAGTAATACATCTATGATGTGTAGGACTCTAGTCTGTTTAGCATTTTTAGGCTTCAACTATATCAGACATTTGACTCTCAATTAGAAATTTGTTATTTTCAGTTGAGACAATGAAAAGCCTAGAAAAGACTAGCTTTTGGCAGCTTTTTTTCCTCCTGAACTGATGAAAAATAATTCAATTTTATGCCAAATATCTTATAAGCAGTATGAAGAACTATATTAAAAGAAATAATTGTAAAATCAGCAAGAGTGTAAATTTTATAGCAAGCAGACAACCGACCGCCAATTAATTAAAATATCGGGTTCAGTTCGGATCGGATTATAGAACACTATTATTGAGCTTAAGAGATAAATAAATATCAGTTCAAAATCATAGGAATATTTTAAAAAATTTACTTTACGAATAATAATTGAATACTAGCAGCATATATTTCTGTTTCTATGAAGTATGCATCGATTCAGCTGCGTATTATGAACCAGTTACTGGTCACACATGTCAGACTTACATTGATTATGGTTTTTGCAATGGAGTAAGCGTAGTCACCAATGTCAACATTAATGCACCTCTAGCTCAAGCGAATTGTTGTTATTGCGGTAAATACTCGCAAGCAAACCGATTAGTAATTATTTTCTACCTCTTTATTTTTTCTTTGCAGGTAAAGGAACAGCGCAAACAAGTGGATAATCGACATGCACCTAATATTCTATAGTACTCTTAACATTTTGATTATTTATTCATAAGAATAAACTTTCATCGAACAAATTTCTCAAAGCGATGCATCATTAAAATACTAAAATATACAATTTATCGTACTCAGAATATTATAAAAATTGACTGAACTCAAATGTTTCCATTGAAGCAATCTTGACAATTCTGTTGCGATAAATGAATTAGTGATTCGATTTTCAGTTTTTTGAAGAGAAAGCGAAACGACAGCATATTCATATGTTTTCTAATAAAAATCGTTTACGGGCTTCTATTAGCTTTTTTATCGATTTAGCTGGAAGCAGAACTTGAATTTCTGTCGAATCAGATAACTTCGATGGAAATCATCGAGCAAGAATAATTGGACTTGATTTCAAATAATAAGCGGTGCAAAAGCCTATGGAAAAATGTCAAACTCTGTTAGACCATATTATCCACTTCTGAACCAATCAAATTTTTTTTTATTAGAAAGAGCAATGTCTGAACTACAAATTTTCTAGGAGACATATTTTTCCAGAACGAATTTGCGAAGGAGGAAAATCTAAAAACCAAATATCTCTAAAAAAGTTCTTGCAACGCTTTTGTAACTTGAAAAATCCATATTTCTCAATTATTTGGAACTACATGATACAAAATTGAACAAAAAATACACCGAACGTTAGCGCATCAAAAGCTCTATCGATATCAGCTTTGAGAATTTTTTTGCTCCATTCTTGACTCTTCAATCAAAAAAATTTCAAACACGAAATTTTTGCAAAATTCAACCTTCTGCAAGAATCATTAGTTTACAAAAATATCAGGCACCATATCCAGAAATGTTGCATGAACTGAATCATTTTTGCATTATTTGGTCGAAATATCTCTAATTGTAGAATTTTAGCAAAAAAAATAATTGAAAAAATCTTTTTTATCGTTATAAGACAGAGAAGTAGGGAGAACGACCAAATTACTCAGTCTCTTCCAGAAAACTATTTATTGATACAAAAATCAAGAATAATTTTAACTTGCGATACAGCATTGGAAAGAGTACTCTTTTGTACTACAAAAATTCAAGGGGGTAAGTACTGGCACCCAGCACCGAAAAGTACCGAAAAGTGCTGGCCAGGTGCTGAGGTGCTGAGGTACTGAGTAGGTGCTCAGATGCTGGAAAAGTGTTGAGTAGGTGCTCAGGTGTTGAGTAGGTGCTGGGCGGGTGCTGAAGTGCTGAGATGCTAATTGATTTTTTTAGGATACTACATAAACTAAACCACTACATTGTGATTGATTAAGAGCATTCTCTATCAGATTCACTATTGTAGTTCAATACTAGCGAACTCTTTAAGTATTCAATCAGAAATGTACCCATTTTACAAAACTGTCTAATTCTAATTCAATTTTCTTACTCAGAAGAAACTCGTTTTTGTGCTGTTTTTCTGATATAAAAAAGAGAGGAAGTTCCGCTAAATATTTTTCAGTTACTTTAAGAATTCTTATTTGTTTCATTGGATGAAATGCTTTTTTTCATATTGTTTAAAGATGACATGTTGTCAGCAATATAGCAGTATTCTTGTTCGTTCCTTGATATATTTTTTATGATAAAGTTATTTATTTAAGATAATTATTTTAGCTCATGTCCTCATCAACATTATCGAGAAATATAAATCAAAATGATTTAGCAGATGATATTTTCAATTACAATAATGAACGATTTTATGATTATATTAAACAATCATATGGCGAGGTATCCTCTCATTTGCAAACATACAGTCAAAAATTCAAAATTTATTAAATTAAATTATACTTCGGTTTTTTATTAATTTAAATTTTTCAGATTAAAAGCGATTGAAAGTGTCACATTTTCGATTTTTAATTCGTTAAAACTCATTTCTTGAAAAGAACTCCGAAAATTAAAACCGTTTGCTTTTATTATTATATATTTTTTAGTGAAACAAATTTTAACAGCCATTTTGTTTGAAGAATTAAAATTTGTAGAGTTCGCTCTTGTTTTCTATATAATTTCTATATTTTAGTTTAGGGAGATGTAGAGTTCGCTTGATATTTGCTTGCAGGGTTTCAATGTAATCAGCTCTGATTAGTAGAGTGCACTAAACTACGTAGTGCTCTTCTTCTTTTTCTAGATTAAGTCTCATATTTAGAGTTCATTAGACCGAATTACCAATATGGACGCCATAAGCCTGTTTTTGTATTGGAACTTTGTGTAGTTTCTATACTAACATAAGATCAACACTCCACTGTAAAGAAACTGATTGGAACCCAAAAATATAATTATTCAACACCGAAAACTGGAAAAAATGCAAATGGGACAAGATTTAGATGTTGGTATTCGAGTTCTCTTCAAACAAGTGTCCACCGAGGTCAAACTTTGAATGGATATTGAATCATGTTTGTGGAACATTAGAGAAACGATTCAAAATCTTCCTTCGATTTTCATGAAAACTTTTTTGTCGCCCCTTGCTCGAGCTATATTAGAGTTCGTTTTTCAATATGAGAATTAAGTATACCACCTTCCTAAAAGCGTTCCTGATTAATATTAAGATTCACAGTACTTAAACAAAATCTATGGTCTTGCTATGTTCCAAAAAAGGTTTTATAAACAAACCTCAAGCGATCAACCTATTTCAGTGACCTAGTTTAAAATGCGACAAGATTCCATTCGAGTTTTTATAAAACGATTTATTCAACACTACATTTCACTTATAAAATCTTCTTTTTGGTGAAGCAGCAAAATTCATAATTAATCCAGAGCTGATAAAGCTTTTTGAATCAAATACCTTGAAATATGAAACTAATTTTGTTTTACTGCCATGTTCTGACACTAATCTTCCAAAATGAGAAGAAACACTTTCAGACCGCATTCACTTAGCTTCAAACAGACTACACGCGACACTTCTAAATCTTTTTTACATTCAGTTAGATTTATGGTAGATTTTCTAGCGGACTCTACAAATTCCTAAACTAAATATATAACTGCATTGAAAGCATTAGCGAACTCTACATCTTCCCAAACTAAAATATAGAAATTGCATAGAAAACAAGAGCGAACTCTACATCTTCCTAAACTTTTTGCGATTCGAACTTGAAGGTGAAAATTGTTAAATATGAGTATTTATCAATTAAAACTTGAAATTTAAATGAATTAAGTTTTGTAGTTTTGGAAAAACAAATAGTTTCATTTCTTAACTTTAATGTTGACGGGAGTTAAAAGTTTTAATAATATTTTAAAATTTTATTTGACTTATGATCGCAAATGAGAAGTAGCCGTCTGTAATCTTCTCTTCCGTTGCTATGGTCTGTAATTGGAACCTGTCTGTAAGGGGAGGGGAGCCGCAAAACCTTGAACTTAAAACTTACACGCACTATTTTCTTCGAAAATATACGTGAGCTTCACAAAACCGAATCTGAATAGTGTTACCCTATTTCTAAGCAACTTCTCAATTAATATCTATGTCCTAATTTTCTAACCTTCACAGAACCCACAATTGCTGAGCAGGTGCTGAGTAGGTGTTGAGGTGGTCGAAAGGTGCTGAGGTGCTGAAAAGGTGCCAAGGTGCTGAGCAGGTGCCAGGGTGCTGGGTGCCAGCACTTTCCCCCTTGACACGTCATCATAAATAACATATTAGTATAATGTTGCATGTTTCATAAAAAAGAATGAACTGATTTCATTTTTGATTGAATAAAATCAAAATTATAGGATGTATTCATCTAACTTTTACATTTTTATTTGTTTCTTTATCTTCTTGAACCTCGTGAAGAAAGATGAAAGATAGAAATACATATCGACACATAATATTTGTTCTGCGAGTCACAATTATCAGCAAAAAATACGAAGAAAGAAAGAATAAAGAAATACCATGCGTGTGTATAGAACAAAATGTGCTTTTTGTTCTTTATCACAGTGCTCTCGATTCGACGTTGTCATTATAGGTTAGAAAAAGGATAAAAAGAGCGTTAGTTGTGTTTTTATCTCCATTTGTCTTTGTACTGTCATGATGTGTCTCCTTATTGGTTTTATTATTATCCTTTATATCTTCTATCGTTTATATCAACATTTTTTTCCAACACCAAACATCAATTCCAATGGTAAATATGTTCTTATTAGTGGTTGTGATACTGGATTCGGTCATGGATTAGCGATTGAACTTGATAAACAAGGCTTTAATGTTCTTGCTGGTGTTTTCGTTCCTGACAACGTAACATCTCTTAAAGAAAAACTTTCAAAAAAAGCTACAGTTTTTCGTCTTGATATTACTAAACAAGAAGACATTGATGCTGCATTCGAATTAGTCAACGAGAAAACAAAAGTTCTTCATGCACTTGTTAACAATGCTGGAATTGCTGTTATTGGCCATATTGATTGGACATCGATGGAAGATATGCGTAAAGTGATGGATGTGAATTATTTTGGACATGTTGCAATGACAAAGAAATTTTTACCCTTACTTATTGCTAAACGTGATTCACGTGTTGTTAATATTTGTTCTGTAGCTGGTTATCTCGCGTCATCAAGTCTATCTGCTTATTGTGCATCAAAATATGCTCTTGAATCATTTTCGGATTGTCTTCGACGTGAAATGGTTTCATGGGGTTTACGTGTTAGTATTATTGAACCAGGATTTATGCAAACACCTATCATCCAAGGAGGTCCTAGATCATTTGCAGACTTTTGGAGTCAACTTTCAACTGATGTTATAGAACGATGGGGAGAAGATTTTCTTAAAGCACATTATGATAACTCGGCAAACAATGTGTTCGTCAAGTATGCCGAAAACCCTATGAAAGTCGTTCAAGCTCTTCAGCATGCTGTGATGAATACAGTTCCTCATATTCGTTATCGACCTGGTTGGCAATCAAGTCTTGTTTTCTTTCCAATATCTAATTTGCCAGCTTGGATGGTTGATTGGATTTTGAATAAATTAAGTAAATCAAGTCATGTTCCTGCAAGCGTTAACAAACAACACAGAGATTAAAACTGATTTATTTAGAAAAGTCGACTGGCTTTTTTAATCTCAAACGCAAACCATAAATGCTTTTTTTGACTTAATAAAATGATACTTAGAGAAGAAGTTATTCATTTGCTTAAACAATTATTTTTAATTCGAAGCAATATGTATGTAGTGTGCACACCGACAGTAAGTTAAGACGATCGGGAATTCGTTTTATGAACAATTCACGGTGAGTGTATGAATGTCATCCTGAATGCGGGTATTTTGTGTACCCTCACTGATATCTGATTATAATTTTAAAGTTCCAATATTGAGAAAACAGAATGAACGTCCTTTCAATCGTTTTGTATCGATGACTTTAAAATAGGTTTAGTCTAAAGAATGTTCCATTAGAAATGACCCAATTTTTATTTTTATTGTTTTGTATCTTTCTCATAATCAAAAGTGGAGATGTTTTGGATACACAGCTGTACAAATACGTTGACCTTGGCTCATTATAGGTCTTTTTATCGATCTCTCAGAAGCGATATGCGTATTGCAACTCTTATGGCAACGAATGTTCGTTTGAACTCACGTCAGAGCCGATTGTTTTTAGAACAGTATATTCATGCTTTTGAACTACGATTCAGTTTTCGATTATTTTATCGTACTTCATTTGAATTCTACATTCGTGACTAGAACTATTTTATACATGACTTTTTACTATTTTTCAAGTATTCGCTCTGTTCTATTTATTCTATATGATTTGCTGTCTCCTTTTTTACCCTTTTACTGAGCAGTGATGAAACTCAGGATAACAAAGCATATATAACAAAAAAACATTATTAATGTTTTTGAAAAATATTAGCTTATTATCTTCGTCTACTAAATCGTATCAAGTTGAATTTTATAAATAGTCAGTTATATTTCTGTCATGTATTTATTTTTCATGTCTATAAAGACACACTCTATCTCAGTTATAAGTTCATGTAAAACTAGAAACAGAATGAAATTAATTGAAAAGAATCATTTATCACTAAGCGTAGATGTAGCGTTTTGACTTCATTTAAACTTCAAACGTTGAATGCCACTATGAACCCTTGCAATTAATGTGAAACTAGAATCAATGAAAAAAGCTGTCATCATTAAATATGCAACACTGTCCTTCAGCATAGGATACACTGAACTAATTGCGTTTCCAACTCTATTTATGAAAAGAATCGCGTAAAACAGTGGAAGTCGAGAAATACACCAGGTCCTCGCCTTAGAATTTAAACGTTTCATTTTAAAATTGATAATCAAAGTTTAAAGTAAAACTGTAGCCTTGATAAGTTTAAGAAAATTTTTTAAACTTATGTGTATAATACCAGTTCTAACCCGAATTGATTAATAAATAAAAAATTTGACTAACGAGGGAACCTCCCGAAGTGTAACCTCCCATTTTGATTCTTTTATATCTTATTTAAGTGAACATATTGAGATAGTAAAATCCCTAAAAGGATTTGGGCTCCTGTTGCTGCTATCAAGAGTTATAATCGTTTTACTGAATTTTCAATCCATTCCTAGGTATTTACTGTAAAAAAAAATTAGTGAATTTCGACCTGAAATTTTGCCTACAAATAGGCCCAACGGTCCTTAAAATATCCTGAAAGTTTCAGCCAAAAAGAATGTTCCTTTCTCGAGATATTAATTTTTCTAATGGACTCAGTTTTTGTGACGTATTTATGGCAAGGGACTATTTTTTGAAAAATCAATATCTCGAGAAAGGAACACTATTTTTGGCTGAAACTTTCAGGATATTTTAAGAACCATTGGGCCTATTTGTGGGCAAAATTTTAGGTCCAAATTCCCTAATTTTATTTTTACAGTAAATACCTAGAAATGAATAGGAAATTCAGTAAAATGGTCATAACTCTTGATAGAAGCAGCAGGAACCTAAATCCTTCTACAGTTTTTACTATCTCAATATGCTCACTTAAATGAGATATAAATGAATCAAAATGGGAGGTTCCCTCGTAAGTATCATCCAGGTCAAAAATATTGGTCTCATGGCTTGGCAGGCGCCTGTAAACCAACAGACCAAGCCGATAGCTCTATTTGGATATATATACGTGAAGAGTTGCATCTAATCTATTGGGGAACAAAAATTGTATTCACTCTGCAACAATCGAAAGAAAGTACCATGTTGGTAAAAATATTAAAATTCTATCAAAGTCATATATTACTTCTTTTCTGCAAAGAATTATCCACTCAGTATTTGTAAATATCGCTGCCAGTTTTTGATCCTTTGGCTTGAGTTTTTTTCAAAAGATAGCCTGACTAATTCTCTGCAAAGTTCAATAATAAAAAAAACTTGTCAAAAGAATAACTTAAAATGGTCTGACATCAGTTTAGTCAAGAGAAGTGAAATAATTTGTCTTGTAAAAAAAATTGTCTGAGAAAGTGCACCTTTTTTTTGAGTGTAGCACTGCTCTGCTTAGATATGATCTTTTTAAATTAGTCTTTTGAAGAGCTGTTTTCTTGTGATTTTCTAGAGAATCGCAAGTCTATCTTTTGGAAAAAATCAAGTCTAAGCATCAAAAACTGATCTAACTATTCACAAATATTGAGTACGTAATGCTTTACAAACGAGGAATAAAAAGAAACATATGGGATCAGTTCGCTTCCAAAAAATACGAACCGATCCTACCAGTAGTGAAAGGTGACTTGAATAAAATTTTGTCAATATTTTTACCGATTTGGCATTTTCTTACATTTGATGCAACTTGAACATATTTCGATTCAACAGTAGCTTAAATGTTGCTCTTCAAATAAATACGTATATCCAATATCTCTTCACCTTTGATTCTGATAAAGATGCAAAAATAAAAATGAAGTCATTATACTTATGGAACACCTTTTACTTATCTTTTCTGTATTCACCTAGTGTTCCGATTACCATGATTGATGACCATGATATATCTGTAGTTAGATAATTTGTTCTTTCTTGTATGTTCCTATTAGNAATCCAGAGCTGATAAAGCTTTCTGAATCAAATACCTTGAAATTTGAAACTAATTTTGTTTTACTGCCATGTTCTGACACTAATCTTCCAAAATGAGAAGAGACACTTTCAGACCGCATTCACTTAGCTTCAAACAGACTACACGCGACACTTCTAAATCTTTCTTACATTCAGTTAGATTTATGGTAGATTTTCTAGCGGACTCTACAACTTCCTAAACTAAATATAAAACTGCATTGAGAGAATTAGCGTACTCTACATCTTCCTAAACTAAATAGAAAATTATATTGAAAGCACTAGCGAACTCTACATCTTCCCAAACCAAAATATAGAAAACAAGAGCGAACACTATATCTTCCTAAACTAAACATAAAATTGTATTGAAAGCATTAGCAAACTCTACATCTTCCCAAACTAAAATATAGAAATGGCATAGAAAACAAGAGCGAACTCTACATCTTCCTAAACTTTTTGCGATTCGAACTTGAAGGTGAAAATTGTTAAATATGAGTATTTATCAATTAAAAATTGAAATTGAAATTAATTAGCTTTTGTAGTTTTGGAAAAACAAATAGTTTAATTTCTTAACTTTAATGTTGACGGGAGTTTAAAGTTTTAATAATATTATAAAATTTTATTTGACTTATGATCGCAAATGAGAAGTAGCCGTCTGTAATCTTCTCTTCCGTTGCTATGGTCTGTAATGGGAACCTGCCTGTAAGGGGATGGGGGAGCCGCAAAACCTTGAACTTAAAACTTACACTCACTATTTTCTTCGAAAATGTACGTGAGTTCCACAAAACCGAATCTGAATAGTGTTACCCTATTTCTAATGAGGGAATCTTTTCAGGTGCCCCCTGTCGATTTCAATGAAACCTCACCCATAGATACTACATAGTGCTCTAGTAAAAACCCTCAAAGGGCTTGAGTGCGAATCACTTCCTTCAAAATTTATGACCATTTTACTGAATTTTCAACCCATTCATAGGTATTTATCGAAAAACTCAAATTATCGAATTACGACCTGTAATTTTGTCCATAGGCAGGTCTAATGACCATTAGAATATTCTGAAAGTTTCAGCTAAAAAGAATATTCCTTTCTCGAGATATTGAGTTTTCAAGTGAACTTGGTTTTGTGACCTATCTGTGACAAGCGACTATTTTTTGAAAACTCAATGTCTCGAGAAAGGAACATTGTTCTTAGCTGAAACTTTCAGAATATTCTAATGGTCATTAGATCTACCTATAGACAAAATTGCAGGTCGAAATTCGATAATTTGATTTTTTCGATAAATACCTAGGAATGGGTCGAAAATTCAGTAAAGTGGCCATAACTTTTGAAGGAAGCGATTCGCGCTCAGACGCTTTTAGGGTTTTTAATAGGGCACTATGTAGTATCTATGGATGAAGTTTCATTGAAATCGACAGGGGGCATCTGAAAAGGTTCCCTCGTAAGCAGCTTCTCAATTAATATTTATGTTCTAACTTTCTAACCTTCACAGAACCCACAAGTGCTGAGCAGGTGCTGAGTAAGTGTTGAGGTGCTGGAAAGGTGCTGAGGTGCTGAAAAGGTGCCAAAGTGCTGAGCAGGTGCTGACGTACCAGGGTGCTGGGTGCCAGCACTTTCCCCCTTGATCTATCTTCTCTCGACTCACACCCACACCCTAGTCACCCACACCCTAGCCAC